TCCAATATGCGTTTTTGCTGCCTATTGCAGCGCTCTAGCGCTGCACGGCAAAAACGCATAAAAACTGACAACCATGGTGTATAGAAAGGAAGCTCTATCTTTAAAGCTGGAATTAAGATTTAGACTCAGTTAACTAAGGAATTAATCCCACGCCAGTTCATTTATTCTAAACGATAGTAAACGGCTACGGGCATACAATAGAAAGTCAGAATAATAATCAGATTTTATCTTAGCGATTCACAGAATTGCCTATCATAACAAATTTTTAAGTCTTAAAAATTCTTCGTAAGTTAAAAAGCAAATTCCTTCAAATTTTAGCTGCGCAGGGGTGAAATACGCTCGAAGCATACCATTTTGAGAGAAATTTTTTTCTCCTTCTTCCTCTCTCTCTTCGCAGTTTGCTTCTGATGTGAATGTCATTAAATGTCAAGTTCGAAGTTTAAAAGTATTTCATGATAAACATATCTAATGCGAGCGTAATTGCTGCTAAGCAGAAACAGCTTCCGTTTATTATTAGACACAAAAACACTGCCACATTGCCACTCAGCTTTGAAAAATTCACTTATTCAAAAATACTGAGCAAATACCATATGTATATGCCATGCTGCGTTCATTATGCATATGTGTTAGAACTATGTGTATTAGGTACATGTATAACCTTATGCTTACACAACGAGCAAAACATTGATAAGATAGCATCACTGCAGCATAAAATGACCCAATTTGGAATCGTTAAGAGCTTCAGTGCAGCATTGCTGAAAAATGGAACCTGTCTCTCTTGTCTTCTACGGCATGCTAGAAGTGGATTTTTATAGCAGGCATGTAATGATCGTGGTGTTTTAAATGATCAGTGCTTACACGAATAGTTTGGGAAGGTTGAAAAGAGCTCGACAAAAATGCATTAGTCGCCACCACCAGTGATATGGAGCGCTTTATCACCTTCTGTATAATAAATCAAAAATTGTGATTTTATCCATGAAAAAAAACAAAATGAAAAACTATAGCCAACCAAAATATCCTGAAGGTGGCGGAAGAGGTGGAGGTGGCGGAGGTGGTGGGGGTGGCGGTGGGGGCGGTGGTGGTGGGGGTTGAGGTGACCTTTTGACGGTTGTTCCAAATGCCTTTGCAAGTGCTGGTGCCGACTCATAATGACTCATTGAACTCCAGGGCGTTAAGACAAGTTGGTACGGTGGAACTTCAAGTATAGGTGCAATAGGAATCCATCGCTTTTCCATCAACAAACCACCAGGCCTGAAATCGACTGGTTCCTCCCCAAATGGTGGCACTGGTCCAGTAGCTCCCGCCGGGAATGGTATAGCTTCGCGGTACGGTACAATTTCAGCGGAGAGACCAATCACGGGAAATGATACAGCATCAAGAGGACGCGGGGGCGCGAACAGCGGCACCATGAGTGGTTGACTTTGTTGATGCGGCTCGAAATTCTGCCTTAACTTATAACTATAGGCGGGTAGAAATGATGGTCTGTGAGGAGTGTTGCTAAACGGATTATTAAATTCTCTATCGTCAAAGAACAAAGGATTCATGTGACTCATCGGGATCTCCTCAAACACAGCGTATGGCGTTGGAAGCAGCGGTAGTTGTGGTACTTGTGGCGGTGACAACGCTGACCACCATAACTGGAGTCCTGGCAGCTCCGGATAAATGATTGGTTCCAGTTCTTGGTTAAGAGGCAGGTCTGGTTCGTTTGCGATGATTTCAGTGAAAGGGTCAGCTTCAAAATCTCGCTTTACTCGATGCCTGAAAGCTTATTAACAGCTCCATAATTTGAAATGAATCAGCAGTAGTACTTTTAATATTTGTTGGGGCGAAGTGCTGGCAGCAGGCATGATCAAAATTTTTGTATATTTGTTTCAAATTCACAAAATATGCAAATTTCTTCTCTATTTGCTTGAGCTCATAGTTCCCACCAAGTTTTAACTTACTGGATTTTTGGAACTGAAAATTTCCAGCTTATTAGATCTTGGAGTTGAAACTGCATGATTATTAAATTTATTGAACCTACGAATTCCTAGACATTCTTGAATTTAAAACTGAAGAACACAAAAACACTGACAGACATAAACGTACGCACATCTATGCATATACATTCATATGTACATGCGCATACGTGTATATGCATATACACGTACAGTCAATCACATATATGCACAAAAAGCATACCAAGAATACCAGGATAAAACAAATTGGTAAGGTATCGTAGGAGTGGGTTTGCAAATTTGCACAAGTGCATAAAAATTGACCATCATGTTGCTGTCACTCAAAAAAGTCATGTGCGGCTTGAGCTGAATGAGGATTTTTGCTAGCTTTTCGAATTTTAAAATGTCGCGAAGGACTTAGTAAATGTAGCAGCTTACAGCTTTTGCTGTGAATCCAGTACTTTATTGCTTGCAAGGACGATAGCTTCGAACAGGAAGAACGCCAAGGAGACCGGCAACATTGCGATTGGCTACTGATGCTGAGCAACAAAGCCCAATGTGCTGGTCTAAAATAGCACTTTTAACTCATTTCTCGAACTTCACCGGAGTAAAAGACGTAGGGAAACTCTATGAATTTAGATACCATTAGCATGAATCTAATTGTATTATGAAGTTGGCTGATATATCTTTTTGGACACATGCTTTCATCTCACATTTAGACTTTAATTTCTTCAGCTACTCGAGAAAATGAAATCCGATTGACAGGGCATTTTGCTCATTTTGATGCGCACTGACGATTGGTATTTACAAAGAGGAAAACTATCACTTAGGCAGCTCCGAAGTGGTAACGGATATAT